TCTGTAACCTCCATGGCCGCTTACGAAGGCCAAAGTGGAAGTAAAGATCGTGGTGATCCGGAGGTACGTACTGAGAGTATTCTTTTCACTTGTTTCTGATATTCTGCAGACCTCGAATGTCTTCGTTGCCAATTTGCCTCCCTACGTCAACGAGCAAAGCTTGGGAATGTTTTTCGCGCGTGTTGGCCCTGTTGGCTCTGTATGTCTCTCAATTTCATGATCTTGACGTATGCTAAGATATCTTAGGTCAAGATAATGTGGCCCCGGGGTGATGCAAGTGTAGGGCCCGGTGCTGATATGACCGCTACACGGCGCACCAAGAACTCCGGACTTAGCGGTTTTGTGGCATTCATGAAGCGGAAGGATGCAGAAAAGGCGCTTCGTGAACTCGATGGCTTTGACTGGGGTGGTTCCGTATTGCGCGTAGGATGGAGTAAAGCCGTTCCGGTGGCTGCAAAACCGATGTATGGTGAGTGTTTTATGGACAAACGATCGTGGAGATTTTGTTAACTTGACGTCGCAGTGATCAAAAAGTCGGCATCTCGCTCACGGTCGAGGTCTGAGAGTGGGTCTCCTCGCCGATATCATAGTCACAGTAGATCGAGATCGAGATCGCGGGATCGTGGAAGAGGACATCACCACTCTTCTCACCGGTCGCGCAGCCGTTCATATAGTCCGTCTCACTCACGATCGCCGTCGCATTCGCGAAACCACCATTCTTCTTACAGCCGGTCAAAGCGCCACGACAGTTTCTCGCCTCACAGACATTCTCGTAGCCCAGTGCGGGAAGAGGAAGAAGTTTCTGAACAGTTTCTTCGTACTGTAGCCGCAGAGGTCAAGGGGCATGGCGCTGAGTATGAGAAGAGCCTGCAAGAGCGGGAACAATCCAATCCGAAGTATGCGTTCATTCGGCGTGGTGTAGGTGATTATTCGAAGATACTCCGAGCTGTATTCATCTTTCGGGCACACAGCATCGCAAGTACAAACACTATCGCTCTCTTGTCGAGCAATCACGACCTATAGAGGCTGAATTCGATGATGATGTCGGTCATGATTTAATTATTCACTGCTTTTATACTCACATGATGCTAACTCTAGGGCTACAACTCTGTCTACTCCACTGACTCTGCGGAGGATTCCGAACGTGAACGCGTTCGCAAGACCCAGCTCGGGAAACTTGCGAGAAGACGTTTCGAAGCGATGCTCCGTGCCCTATCCGGGAAACGTGGGGAGTTGGCTCGATGCATGGCGTTCAGTCTTGAGCACGCCGAGGCAGCCTCTGAGGTACGTTTCAAATTTAACGAAGCCCGAGCTTATTGACATCATCTTCGTGATTCAGGTCGTTGATATCATTGTATCATCACTGCTGGTAGATGGCACGCCGGTGCCTCGCAAAGTCGCCCGCCTGCATCTCATCTGCGATATCCTGCACAACTCCGCCGTCTCACTGCCTATGGCGTGGAAGTTCCGCCAAGAGTTCCAGTCCCGCTTAGGTATCGTCTTCGACCACCTCTCAACCATCTACCACTCGTTTCCAGGCCGTATCACGGCGGAGACGTTCAAGAAGCAGATTACAGCCATCGTCGACATCTGGGAAGACTGGATTGTGTTCCCGCCGGACTACACCGCTGAGCTGCGCGGGCGGCTGGAGGGCATGACTATTCCCGCCGAGGAACCGGAAGTGGAGGAAGAGGTTGCCGCGCCGGTCGACACTTCGAAGACGTTCGCATCGAAATTCAAAGCGAGCTCGTTCAAGCCGGCGACGGAGCCCGTGCCGCCCGTTCCCGCTGACGATGACGACGACGGAGAGCCGATGGACGTGGGCAGCGACGATGAGACGCCGTCTCGCCCCGTTGTTGCGCCCGCGGATGACGTCGATGGCGCACCCCTCGCGACCGACGTCGATGGGGAGCCGATCGCTGACGATGTGGATGGCGAGCCGATGGAGGACTTGGACGGCGAACCAATCAGGGACGATGTGGACGGCGAGCCGATGGGCGACGATGTGGATGGAGAACCCATCAAGGATGATGTGGACGGCGAGCCAATGGCCGAAGAGGACGTGGACGGCGTGCCGCTCGACGACGATATCGACGGTGCGCCTGTGGGACTGTAGACCGCTGTGATTGTAATCTGTAAACGGTATAGGGGAAAATGGCTGGATGTCTGCATCTGTTTCAGGGCACTCATGTAGTTGGAATGCTTCATCGTAGAACAAAGTCACCTTGGAAACTGGACTGTACATCGCTCCGTGGACCCTTTTCTATCTGCTTCACAGTCTATCTGTGATGATAACACGGAGCGAGACCCTGAGAGCCCAGAGGCGATGTATACTCAATGCTCATCTGATACGCCGCCTTCTAATGGTTTCAACTACGACGGTGCTTGCACAACTCCTGCACAGAGGACACGTAGACAGCTCAGCGGATTGGAAAATACAAACATGTGAATAATTGCATTGGACGATCATGCTTGACCTATACCACAGATCCAGGGAGCCGGATTGATGATGGAAACGAGTACACAACATGTGGGGCAAACGCTAGACGGGAATTACGGAGGCAATATGAGAGTAGCAACTGGGAGCTAGAAGAATGTGCAGGAACTGGGAGAAACAAGAAAAAATTGCTGATGGAAGTGATTGGTGAGGGAAAGTAGCACGTATTGAACAACATGAACGTAGGCAATGAATGGGTTGTAGATGGGCAGATATGCCAGAGCAGCAGAATATACAGAGTGAGATATACGGGAGAGGCCATAGCCCTGGCCCTGCCATGGAGGGCACACGAGCATGTATGAGATACAGGTCCGTTAATCCGATGCCTGAGATGAGCGCGCTAGGCGACTCTATCTCTCACCAGAGGGCGGGGAGTCATTGTTCAGACGCAAACCGGCTAGAGACCTCTCAAGGTTGGCGGCGTGATTGTTGCTGCTGTGTCGGTGACTGGAGCCGGGCCTGGACGAGCTGCTATAGACGTGTACGTGATGAGCGAACGAACGGAAACGTCATCGGATGGGGAAAGGACGTCGTTGCGGGAGCAAGTTAAACGAGCGAGCACGCGGCCCAAGCGTAGAATGAGAAGGCTAGACAAGGAAGGGCAAAAGAGGTTACAAAAAGAATGGGTGAAGATAGAATGATGAAGGCGTGAAAAACGAAATGGAAGATGGGAAAGGATGTAATGGATGGAAATCGCACGTACTGGTCGTCAGATCGTCGGCTGGGTTTCGGCCAGTCCCAGACTTTGCGGAGCCAAGTGGCCATGTTGACCTCGTGGCGCATGACATTGACTATCCAAGGATGTTTCAGCATCTCACTGGGATTTGGTCGCATACTCGGGTCGCGCGCAAGACTATAAACAAGTTGAGTCTTTCGAATGAATACCGAAATAGAACCACGTACGCCAACTTGATGAATTCCTTCATTTCTGGACTGTATGTGATTCCCTCTTCGTCTTCTAATTCGGGAGGCTGGGACCGATGGCTGTCAGCGAACAGTAGGACAACCTCAAATCACACTTACTTCGTTTTGGGTGATAAACATCATTAATTCTATCTGTGCAAGGTCATTAGGGAAGGGGAAACGGTTCTGCACAAGCTCAAGCAATGTGATGCCGGTTGACCAGACATCCGATCGTATGTTGTATGTCAGACCAGACAAACGTTCCGGCTATTGGAAAGCCCATCAGTGTCAACAAGAACCCGGGAGATTAATAGACATACCGCCATGTACAAACTGGTTCCGGTGAAGGTACCAGCATTGGAGTTGATAAGTTCACCCGACACGCCGAAATCGCACAATTTCACGACGCCTTCGCGTGTCAGAAGCACGTTCGGCGGTTTGATGTCCCTGTGTATGGTCTTCTGAGAGTGCAGGTACGCGAGCCCTTGCAAGATCTGCACGTTGTTTGAAACGATCAGCATCATCAGTAGGGCAGCATCACAAATTGACGGAGGCGTACCCCTTCCGCGAGACGCCCCGCAACCTTCTCGCCCACACGCCCACCGATCTGCCTCATCCGCTTGCCAACAGACTCCAAAGAGCCGCCCTCGCCGAATTCCATGAGCACCTTGACCTCGCTGGACGATGGTGTTATGTAGGCACCGTAGAACTTGATGATGTTCTGGTGCGACGTAGAGGATATAATCTTGATCTCGCGCAGTAGCTGCTTCATTGGTGCCTCATGCAGAGTAATGGACTTGCGTGCCATGATCGCGCCCGTGCGGCGGTCGCGCACCTTGTACACCGCACCTCCGGCACCCTCTCCGAGACGAGCGAGTTCCTCGAGTACGTCGTCGGACCACTGCTCAAATTCCCCGACAGTCTGTCTGAGGTTCTCCATGGAGATCGGAGGCGGGGGTTTCGGTTGAGGTGAGATGGTGAGCTGCGGTCGGATAGTAGGCTCACTCTCGGCAGCACTGACCGCGCCGCCGCTGTTTATCAGATGAGGCGAGTAAGGGCCGTTCGCATTGTTAGGGCCGCCGGCGTAAGGACCCGCAAATGGGCCTTCTCCTGGCTTGAATTGGAGCGCAGGCAATTTCAGCTTGGGTTTTTGAGACTGGCCCGGAGTTGGGACGCGGAGAGATAATGTAGGAGTTGGTGCGCGAGCAGGCGAAGACTCGGGAGGCTCGAGATGAGAAGAAGAAGAACCGTTGGAGTGCGAGCCATTTGTGAGTGGCATAGACGTGTCTTTGGCGTCCGAGACTTTGCGAACGTTGAGAGGAGCGATGCCAGATAGACTGTGCGGTGCAGGCGAGGCCGAACGCTGGATTCTTGGACCCATGGGGCGCACGCCGGGAGTGGTGTGCGTCGACGCCATGGTCGAGTAGGAGATGATGAGAAGGCAAGTGGTGGTGGTAGAAAAGCAAGGAAGAGTCAAGGGAGTGGCCAGGCAACGAATGCTTGCTATCCAAGCTCAAGATGGCAACTGCTCACCGTTACAGCGTGTTTCAGGTTTGGCGTTGGTTTAGGATTTATATTTACTGGCGTAGTCTGACATCACGGCAGTGTAGCCAAGTGGTTACGGCGTCACGTTTAGGTTTACAATCCGTGATGGGTTTCCCGCGCGAGTTCGAATCTCGTCACTGTCATACCTTTTGCCTGTTTGACTTTTTTGCTGCATGAATGATAAAACTTGGAAAACACAAAGAAAACGGCAGTGCGGGGGTTTACCCTTTTCATACGCTTCCGAGGCATTTCAGGCTCGACGAACAAAGCATACACAAGTGTCAAGGCCCACTAACTCGGTAAGAAAGCAAATAAGGTTAAGGTTAGCATGCTCAAACCTCGCCGCAGTCGGATTTGTCGATGCATTGGAATCTCGGTCATAATTTTACACTTACTACTAGCTACCTAGGCAGAGCACTATACAATCTCTCGAGTGAAGTAGGCTGCGCAAGTTGTGCACCACCCCGGCCGTGTACCTGTACTAAGCGCGCTCTGAGGTCGGCGCATGCCCGCGGGCGCTCCTCTCAGACCCACTCATCATCTCGACCACCACGATGGCTTCAGCTTCAGGTGCGCAACTATCTTATTTTACCTAGCGCAACATCTGAAAGGTGCATGGCAGCCACCGGAAAACTCTCAAGAGAAGAATTCAGACGACAGAGGGACCTTGACGCGGCGCGAAAAGCAGGTACAGCGCCGGCAGCCCTTGACGAGGAGGGGAAGGCTATCAATCCTCATATTCCACGTAAGTGTCTGGTCTTTTATACAGGATGCAATCAACACTCATATTTTTCTAGAGTACATTGCCCAAGCACCATGGTATCTCGACACTGGTGCACCGTCACTCAGCCACCAACGTATACCCGAATACGACCGCTCCGCCGATAAGCTCGACAACTGGTACGATCGCGGAGCAAAGGCGGGCCCTGCTGCAAAGAAATATCGCAAAGGAGCATGCGAGAACTGCGGTGCCTTGACGCACAAGAAACAGGATTGCCTTGAGCGTCCACGCAAGAGGGGTGCCAAGTTTTCCGGCAAGGACATCGTAGCAGACGATGTGATACAAGATGTGGCGACGGGATATGACGCTAAACGTGATAGGTGGAATGGTTATGATCCTTCAGAGCACAAGAAGGTCTACGCCGAGTACGCTGCAGTCGAGGCGGCACGACAGAAGCTCAGGGAGGAAGAGATTGATAAGCAGATGACGACGGACTTGGCTGCAGTTAGGAAGGTCGCAAAGGCAGGGAAGGGGGAAGGTGGGAAGGATGACGACTTTGGGAGCAGCGACGAAGAGGACGAGGATGCGGACAAGTATGCGGAGGCGGCTGATGCGGTTGGTCAAAAGTTGGATACGAAGACTCGAATCACCGTCCGAAACCTGCGTATCCGAGAAGACACTGCCAAGTATCTCATCAACCTCGATCCCTCCAGCGCATACTATGATCCCAAGACGCGTTCCATGCGCGACAACCCTTCCAGGGATGCTGCTGCTGAGGACGTAAGTACTTCACACGCCCTGCTGGTATCACATCGTTCTCACCATTTGTGCAGACACCATTTTCTGGTGAAAACTTCCTTCGATACACCGGCGAAGCACCCGAGGTGCAACAACTGCAGCTCTTTGCTTGGAATGCTGCCGCGCGAGGAAATGACGTGCATATGAACGCCAATCCTACGCAGGGTCAATTACTGCACCAAGAGTACCTCAAGAAGAAGGAACAGCTTAAAGAGACCACGAAGGTCAGCATTCTGGACAAGTACGGCGGTGAAGAGTACTTGGAGAAGGCTCCAAAGGAGCTCCTTCAAGGACAGACAGAGGAGTATGTCGAATTTTCACGCACGGGTCAAGTCATCAAAGGCAAGGAGCGTGCAGCGGTGCGGTCTAAGTATCCGGAAGACGGTAAGCGCATCTCACCCACGTGTTTTCTGCATGTGTTTACGAATATCTACTAGTATTCATCAACAATCACACCGCCGTATGGGGCTCGTGGTATGAGATCGGCTCCGGGCAGTGGGGCTATGCATGTTGTCATTCGACGGTCCATATCTCATACTGTACAGGCCAAGCGGGCATCGAAGCCGCACAAGCCTCCTCCGCCCAAAACCTCCTCGCTTCCTCTTCCGAACAACCCCCAGAAGAGCCAACGCAGCCTGCAAAAGCCCCCAGCGGCGTACAGCTCGAGGACCGCAAGAAGAAGGCGGACGAGCTGTTCTCGAAGCGACGGCTCGGCGAGGGTGATGTCCAGATCGACGAGAGCCGCCTTGCGCAAGCCCTCCGGCAGGAGCGGGATAAGAAGCGGAAGGCCCGCGCCGGCGACGAGGAGGACGAGTGGGGCAAGAAGCGCAAGAAGGCTGAGACCGCGGAGGTAACGGAGGAGGAACTCGGTACGTCGATCGTTCACTTTGTCGTTTCCTTGGCTGATCTCGTGGTCTCGCATGTACAGAGGCCTACCGTATGACGCGCCGCATGACGGAGGATCCCATGGCGAATTATGTCGACTCGGAAGAGCTCTGATGCCTGGATATGGCAGTCTGATGCCTTTTGGAATTTGTGCGCCCCTAGCATTTCTGTTTTCTGTATTACCTCCATCGCATACTACTTGTTGACAGCTGTGTATCATCATTTAATTTAGCGTCTCCAATATCGAAGCTGCGTTCCATTCTGATGCCATATCATTCGCAATTCTTCTGTGGGTCTTGGCACGATTGCTTAATGGTTCAAGTAGTCATTATGCAGGAATATCGGTTGAGGTGAGTCCTTCCTAGGTATTGCAGATCCTATAACTCGTATCACAGTAACTTGACAGTCTGATGTACATGTCATTTTTTAACTCAACATGGTCACGCTCAGCTGAACCATGTCACGTATTTGCTCGAAGTTCTGCGTATTGTTGCAGCAATCTCCTTTGCCACTACTCTGTCCGTCTGTTCCGACGGATGCAACTCGTCGAACCTGTTGGCCGTTGAGTCGTGTTGCTGTGAGTTCGCAAATCCCTGTGCATTGTGCAACGTACTCACCACAAGAAGCTGTCCGCAGCAGAACCTGTTGCAATTGTGCAATTACCCGGATCGCTCTCACTCTCGTTTTCTTGGAATACGCAAGACTTGATTGCGCCAGTCGTGTTTGGTGGGACAGTGCCGTTCAGGAATTTGCCCGGGTCAGCTAGAATGTCTTCAAATAAAGCATGCGAGTCGAAGTAACCTATAACGCGCCATGGTCAACAATCAACCCCGCGTTCTCAACCAGTATGCGACGAACCGATGTGTGCTCCAGGATGGCTCAAAGGAAGCGCGCCGACCATCATTTTAGAGAGCGAGTTTCCGGTCGCTACCAGCTCAGTCATCACGTCATTCCACATAGTTGTGTTGCGTGGGGCCGTCCAGTACCGATTCGGATAGGAATCAGAAGAGTACAGGATAGTCTTCTGAAGCGGAATCATCTGTCGTATAGGACATACTGTGAGTGACGCGATTCTGGTTCACCAGATGGTAACCACTGACGTTTTGGAACAGGAAGTTACGCGCGCCGCTCTTATAGAGCGTAGAGACCCAGTTGACCGCGCAGCTCACCACGTCTACTGCCGTGACTCCTGGTGTCTGGTCGCCAGTCAGCACCGCCCCCACACCCATGTCGTTCGTCCCGATCCACAACGTATAGATCGTCGACTCGGGGTCGAGGTGGAAGGTGCCGTTCGTCTTCTCCGTAAAGTACAGTGGTAGCTGACTCTCGAAGAGGGAAGGGAATGGTTTGAGTGTCAGATTGTTGGAGCAGGTCGCTCCGGAACGCGCAAATGGGAAGAGCTTGAAGTTGCCGTCTCGCGCTGCATATACGGGCCAAGCGACGCCATTGTCCCCAGTGACGACCTAAAACTCGCTGTGTTAATGAAAGGCCCCAATAAGGGGACAATAGTACGTACCACATCCGTATACGAGTCGCCGAAAGTGACCAAATTTTCTATTTGATCAGGACGGGGACCTAACGCTGCCACTTCCTCCAGGACTCCGAGGAGGGTCAATGCGATGAGAGTAGCGAGTTTGAACATCGTGCCTTGTCTGTCGGTTCTGCTCTGTGCCCGCTACGATTTTATAGCACGACAGCTTAGCCTCAACGACACGCGCCAGATACCTCGATGGTCATGAGTCTTTTGCTTCACTTGAGGTCAGTTCTCAACGATTGGTGCGACGTATCCCTCTAGTGTTCATGTGACTTCATTCGAATAGGTTCCTTTAGGAAGGCCCTTGGTTCCTCTCCGACCTTTCTCCACTCGATCAGTCTGGAGAACTGAGGCCGCAACAGAAGCGTTTATCGCTGAGAATTCTTTGCGATGTTGGGGAAAGAACGTGCATTCCTCCTCGAGGACGTGAGTCCTCGCGTCCTCATTCTCCTTTGAATACTGATCAAAACTTGCCGCTGTTTGGCTTAGTCGTCACATGCTCAGTCTTCATCAGAGCGATCGTCACCATGCGCGGAGACGATGAGCTGCATGGCTGAGGTCACAACAGTCCAATAATAGTCCATAACGTTTGCATCTGAGCATGGAATGTGCTGCCTGCATATATGGGCTTACGACCAGAAACTCGGTAATAAACTCCAGGATATCCATATGGGCGCTATCGATTCCTCTTAGGCGCGACATTGTCGCCGGTCGGTGTCCCTCAACAACCTCATCGAACTATGCAAGCGTCGTATATATGATTACAAAGGTACCGTATCATTGCTCCTCTGATAAATATGGTGTATGATCAATACTCAGCGGCAGATTCTCGTTCAACTGAACCAAGTGATGTATTTATTGGAGGTCCTGCGGATCGCGGCAGTTATCTCTCGAGCCACAATCCGCTCGACTTGTTCCGAAGGGTGTAACTCGTCAAACCTGAGAGATTGTAGAGATGAGCATACCGTGAGTCACTCCGTCCATCGTACGACCGACTCACCACATATGGCTATCCACAGCTGGCCCGGTCACAGTAGTGCAATTGCCTGTGTCAGATGTGTTCTGATTGATTGCAAATACGCAAGACTTGATGGGCGTAACTGTCTCCGGCGGGATCGTACCGTTCAGGTACGCCGTAGGATCTGCAAGGATGTCCTCAAAAAGCGTATGGGAATCAAAGAGACCTGGTGACAGAACTCATCAGA